AGAGGTGATCTTAGAAAGCGTAGCCACTGCTGTAACGTACAGGCAGAGCCGGGGAGTTACTCCACTGGCCTGATTCGGTCTCCCATGCACCAATCCATTCCAGGGGCTACCCCATCTTCTGCATACCTCCGTGCTCAGAAGTGCCTGCTACTGACAGGCTGCTGATGTTAAACACTGTCTGGCCTTGAAACAGACATTCTCCCTTTTAGGAAAGAGTCACAGCTTCAACTGCTTATTCCCAAGAGCCCACACAAAGTGCTCAGCTCACTCCAGCCAGCCGCAAAGCCATGAGACTGCTCTACCACGTGGTGAAACGTCTGAATTGCAAGAGCATCCCTCAAGGCTGTTGCAAAAGAGCAGCTGAGTGTGTGGTGGGAGAAACCCCACTCTTACTCCTGCACTTTGAAGTCAGTGAAAAACCTCAGGCCAATCACTGCAGTGGGCGTTAGCCCGCCCGCCCAGCCCACCTTGCAAGCTCTCCAGGCTGACAGAGAACACCCTCTAGTCTAGTGCCTGGCTCCTGTGCTGCGGAATGCTCAGGCCAGCTGGGCTAGGCCAACTGCACCAGTGACAGGACCTGCCCTTTAGCTGTGACAAAGCAGGGAACTGCAGAGCCTGCAGGAAGGCAGCTCGTGTTGCCTTATTAGAGGTCAAAAGAGCTTCACCTTCCTCCACTGGGCCCTAGAGGCACCTTCCCCACTCGATGGCCCTGCCAGCTGAGGGCTGCCACGATAGGCATAAGAACTGCCCTTGAACTTCCAGGGGATCATATCCCTCCAGCCCCACTTGTCCCAACCCAGGGAGCTAGAGCCTGAGTTGGCAGCATGACAAAGCAGGCCCAGATATGGCTTGATCCAGCAGCACCAAAGCAGGCCTCACACGCTGCTCCCCAGCTCTGTAGAACCCCCACCCTTGACCAATAAGGAGAACAGCATCCCTCACCCCTTAGGAGAATCAGCAGGATGAGAGGCACCAAGCAACCATCCCCCAACTGGATTTCACTCACAGAGTAAGCACTGCATACTCTGCTACACGTTCCTACGGACTGACTGCCAAGTCAGGTGCCCCTGGAGGGCACATACCAGCAGCAGAAAGGGGCATGATCATTTCCCCATTCCTGTTAGAGATACACACTATTGCCATGGATACCGTTCTAGTGCAGCCACAACGCTCGGTGCCACGTTACAGGGCTGCTGGGCTGCTGTGTTCAAGGAGTTGTGCTTGGTGTGAAAAATAAACTGGATCCAACCAAGTCTGCGGAAGCCCCATTCTAGTGGCAGTGGCCTGGAGCCTGCTTAGGCCTTGCCTGGTTCAAGTTGAATGTAGAACAAAACAGGAGCAGGGCAGGGCCTAGCTTAGTTAAATCATTCCTATGAGCGGGCTCAAGTCATTTCCTGTCCCCAGGACTTGTCTTCTTGCACTAGGCACCTGTTCCAGGCTGAGTGCACAAGAGAGAAGAGCAAAGCTGGCGGAAGGACCAGCAGGACTCCCCACCATGCACTCAGAGCAAAGGAGAAGGAAAAGTCGTCACTGGCTGATTAGTCGGACAGGACAAAGTGCCCTTCCAGGGACTTGCTTTGAAGAGGGCCCTCTGCGTTTTCAGAAGCCTGCAGCCCAGAGCTCTTGGCTGAAGGGAAGCAGACTGGACCCCTCCAGCTAACAGCCCCTGGACAGGCGGGGCCTTTGGCTTTCTTGGAAAATGCCAATTCACAAACAGCCAGTGTCCTTCACCTGTATCACAGGGCTGGCTGCTTGGGGCACATGCAGAGCGAGTGCGCTGCTCCTGCATGGCAGGGTGATCTCACCGGGCTCCCCAGGACCTGAGTCCTACAAGAGGAATCAATGGACATGCTCCTGCAGCGGCCAAGGGCAGAACAGCCACTCAGGAGAGGAAAGAGCAAGCCCACGCAGTCAGGCTTGGAGACAAATTTGCCTCTATTCCATCATTTATTGCCCATTTCCAGGGGGAGCGTAGCTCGGGGCAGCACCCCGTCCCTCCTCCTCCCCCCCCATTCCGGCAAGCAGAGTCAGCAGCAGCAGGTTAGTCAGACCCCAGGCTGGGGCCAGCCGGGTCTCTCCTGTCAGAGCTAGGCAGCGGGCACTCGGAAAAGCCACCACCTCACCCTGGCACGAAGCCAGTCCCCCTTTCTAAAAGCCGGCTGGCCGTCTTCATGGCGAGAGGCAGGGACACATTAGTGTCTCGGTGAAACCGGGGGCTGGCCACCTCCGCTGGGGGCGTCAGCACAAACTGTGCCACGCTGGGCATTTTCAAGAGGTTCATCAGCTCGGTGGCCCGCGTCAGGATCTCCTCGCTGTCTTCCTCACTGTACACCGAGGCCATGGCAGGGCTCTGGACAAACGCTCTCATCTTGGACAGGAACAGGGACATCCTGCAGGAGGGAAGGACACAGCCCGGAGCCAGGAGCCTCAAGAGAACAGCTAGAGATTCATAAAGCTGCTTCAAAACTAGATCTAGTCTACAGGGGAAAGCACACTGCCCCCATCACCCACCTCCGCTGGACAGAGCATGGGTGGGAGCTTCCTCAACAGTGAGCGTGCTGCCCCGCTGCCCCATAAGTGGCTGGGATCACCCACTGCCTACACTACACTAGTCTCTCTCGCCCAGAGTGGGCACCCCAAGAATTTGGGAAGATCACAGGCCGCACTTTACCAGAGGGGGGTGGGGTTTGGGATGGAGGCTGGGTGCCGAAGGGAGCTCAGAGTAGGGGACAGAGGGGCATGAAGGGAGTCTGGGTGAATGAGGGGGTTGTGACTTGGAACAGGGGATTGGGGTGTAGGTTCTGGGAGGGGGTGCAGGAGCAGGAGAGGATTCTAACCTGAGGAAGGGGTGCAGAAGGGATTGATGCCCTGGAGCAGAGAGCTGCGGTGCAGAAGGGGGTGGGATATCAGGTGCAGGCTCCGGCCAGGACATGCGTAACTAGGTGGCTTCCCAATGGGACCCTGGGGCAGTGTGCTACAGCCCCACATGCCACTCAAAGGAAACGGCTGCTGGGGTCAGCGTGTGTGTCCAGGTGGCGCACTCCTTGGGGAGAGGGGAGCAGTAGGTCTCTGCTTGCTACGCGTGCCCACGAACGCTGCGCCTGGGGGTGGGGCAGGGTATGCCATGCAGAGACACGCAAGCTTTGAGTGGCAGCCAGGGAGCCTGCTCCAACCACTACCCAGACGCACGTACAAAGCACGCTCCCTCCAATCACACTCTTCTATTGCTTTCACGGTTTGCCGTCTCGTTTCCCAGGGTCTTTGGGCTTTTCACTAGGGCTACCGGCCAACAGAACGAACCACCACAAACATTTGCTTGGTGACCTGGCCGAGCTGCAATTTAATCCTGGCCTGCTGCCCTGTTTCATACCTGGGGATCAAATCCTGGCTGCGGGATGCCAGTTTGGTCAGGGTTGTCATGAGAACCGTGATGACGCGTGGCGAGTACTTGGGGATGCTGGCTGAGGGCCGGAGCTGCGTGATTTCAAACAGCATGGCCTCCAGGGCTTCGAAGAACTTGTTGATCTGCTCCACTGTGCATCTTTTGTCGTAGGACACGGACATGTACTCGCCAATAGCCCAAACCTGCAGAGACACCATGGAGAGCAGAGTCCTTCTAAGAAGGGACTGGTGAGATTAGTTTGCACCGAAGGGGCAAGAAGGAAGTTTGTGGAGAGAGCCTGTAGAGGGGGGCTGCAGGGAGGGGATCTGC